GTGCCCAGGGTGAGGGTGACAAACCACCCTCCCCGGGCCAGCACAAGGGGACACCTTCCAGTGTCCCCAGGGCTGGTGGCCCCATGGCCAGGCCCAGGAGCTATGGCACGAGGGCAGTGCAGTGGGAGCAGCACCCATGAGCCCAGCTGGAGCATGGCCCCAGGACGGGAGCTTCACCCTGTCCCCACCTCGTCACCCCCACCCTGGGAGAGGGGAGCAGCTCCTACGTCAGTTATTTTTCCAGCCTCTGGGAATATTTCTTGTGAGAACTGTTTGCTCACAGGTGGTGCAACGGGCCAAAGGGCAGCTGGGGACAGGAACTCAGGCCAGTGCCACCCTCCTGGTGCACTGGGCACTATCCGGCTCCAGCTCTGCTCTGGTGCCCACTCTTGTGCCACCTGTCACCCCACAGAGAGTCACAGATTCCACCAGCACACTGTGAGTGGCACAATGTGGACAGGCCGGTGTGTGTGCCCTGGCACACCGTGGGATGCAGGGACGTGTGGCAGCTGCAAGTTCTGGTTAATGCCCCATCATTGTCCTGACCCTGTGCCCACCGGTCCCATACCCCTGAGCACCCCCGACCCATTTTTGGCACAGGCATGGCCCCCCTGTGGGCTGGAGCTGCTGCCACCCATCTGGGGGCCCCCCAGCAGCACCCATACACCCCCCAATCCCCGGGGTACCCATGCCCCATCCCGCTGCCCACGCCATGCAGCCCCTGTGGAAATCCCGGGATCGGGGCGCGCTGCAACGCAGTGATGCAGCAGCATTGCCATGGCAACGGGTGACATCATGCCTGGGTGCACAGGGACTCGGCAGCCTCGGGGCCCACGGGTGTGTGTCTGCCCCGGGTGCCACGGGACACGTCTGTGGGTGCCGGGACAGGGGACACGGCGTGGCTGTGGCTGTCCCTGTGCAGCCAGCACGGGCTGAGCCCAGGCCCGTGGGATAAGGGGATACGGGGTCCTTACATGGAGCGGGAGCCCCCAGCACCCTCACCCAGCCCTGCTGTCACCCAGCCCGGATCCCCACCCACACCTGGAGCTGTGCCACTGCTGGCCACCAGCCCCTGTGCAGGGGAGGAGGCAGAGGAGGGTCACGCTGAGGGTTTTACTGCTCAGCCGTGTGCAGATGGAGCAGTGGGACAGAGGAGTGTCCCCCGTGCTCACCCACACACATCTAAGGGTGCCAGAGTGCAGAGAACCCAGTTCCCTCCACTGACAGGGGCTCTCCGGCCTCTCTGAGTCCCCAGGGACACCCAGAGCATCCCCCGATGGCTCTGAGGGCCCATGTGGGGTAGTGTCACAGAGCCACCTCCCACAGGGTGCCTGATCCACCTGTCCAGCACTGTGCATCTCCCTCCAGCAGGTCCAGTGGCAGCCAGGATTAACCATCAGCTGATCCCTGTGAGGACAGCATTAGGGACCGCACCGGGGACAGCACCGAGGATGGCATCAGTGGTGGCATTAGGGATGGCATCAGGGACAGAATCGGGGACAACATTGGGACTGCACTGGGGACAGCACTGCTGCTCAGGCTTTGGGATTAGGTCCCTGGTGGGAGCCCCTTCCCAGCCCTCCTGCCACGGGCATGTGGGCACTCAGCCGGCTCCCACGGCTGCCAGGAACGACACCCACAGCCAAGAGCCCCTCAGCCCGCGGCCACGGCTCTGTCCGTCCGCATCCGCGGGGAGGCAGCTCCGGCACAGGGCTCCCTCCCGGGCTGAGCGTGCAGCGGAGCGCAGCTGCCCGCGGAGCTGCCAGCTCGGATGAAGGCAGCCCTGTGCCATCCTCCAACCGCCCCGACAGCTCCGCCCTGGCCCCCCGGATACTGCAGATGGGGATGGAGGCGTCAGGTCACCCGGAAAATCCGGTTCAGCACTCAACTCTGCTAGCCGGGGGGTCCCCGGTCATCACCCCGCCGAGCGCGGCAGAGAGAGCCGGGGCTCCTGCGGGGACAGGATGGGCAGGAGGATGGGTGTCCCTCTGCCTAAGGGAGCAGGAACGCCGGGCAATAGAGGGGCTCAGAGAGGGGCTGGCACAGCGGTTCGGCACGAACCGGCATCGGGAGCGGGATCGCGGTGCTCCCACGGGAGCTCCCACACAGTTGGGTACCCCCCACCAACATCCCATGGCATCGCTGGGGCTCAGACCCTGTCAGGCTCCCGGGGGGGTGTCCGGCTCCTGTCCCACCTGTCACACGCTGCTCACACACAGCACCCACCTGTGGCCCCCGCAGCGCCCACCTCTCACACACACCCACGCAGAGCCCCCCACTCCCACTCGCAGCACCGGCTTCCTGCACACTCACACACAGCACCCAGCTCCCACTCGCAGCACCCACCTCTTGCACACGCAGCACCCGCTTCACACTCACCCAGAGCACCCACTGCCCACCTACGGCACCCACCCTTTGCACACCCACCCCCGGAGCACCCACGGCTCAATTTACGGCAGCCACCCCTCGCGGATCCGCATCCGGAACACCCACCTCTCACCCCGAACGCCCACCTCCCACCCGGAGCGCCCACCTCTCACTCACAGCGCCCACCTCTCACCCACAGCGCCCGCCCCCCGCGCCCCCGCAGCGCCCACCCCTCTCAGACCCGCACCCCCAGCACCCCCCAGCCCAGGCTCACCGGGAGCGGGCTCCCCGCGCTCCCTCCCGCCCCCGCCCCGCAGGGCCGCGGTGCCGGTGCCCGTGCCCGGTGCTCACCTGGAGGCCCCGGCGCCGCAGGATGCTGGGCTCGTCCATCCCGCCGCGCCGCCGCCGCCTCCCGCTGCGCCCGCTCCGCCCGGTGCGCCCGGTCCGCCCCGCCGGTGCGCCCGGGGCGCCGCCCAGCGGCTCCGCCGCGTCACCGGACGCGCATCAGCACCGAGCCCGGGGCTGGGACGGCACGGCGTGGGGCTGGCACGGCATGGGGCTGGCTCAGCACGGCATGAGGCTGGCACGGCATAGGGCTGGCACGGCATGGGGCTGGCACGGCACGGCGTGGGGCTGGCACTGCACGGCATAGGGCTGGCACTGCACGGCATAGGGCTGGCACTGCACGGCATGGGGCTGGCACGGCATAGGGCTGGCACACTCAGGGCTGGCATGGCACGGTGGGGGGCTGGCACGGCATGGCATAGGGCTGGCACTGCACGGCATAGGGCTGGCACTGCACGGCATGGGGCTGGCACGGCATAGGGCTGGCACACTCAGGGCTGGCATGGCACGGTGTGGGGCTGGCACGGCATGGGGCTGGCATTGCATGGCACAGGACTGGCATGGCAAGGGGCTGGCACAGCATGGCATGGGACCAAAATGCTAGAACAGCACAGCACAGCATGGGGCTGGCACAGCGCAAAACTGATGTGGCATGGCATGGGGCTGGCACAACACAGCATGGGGCTGGCATGGCCTGGGGATGGCACAGCATGGCATGGGACCCACATGGCCCCGAGCTGGAATGACACAGCACAACATCAGACAGGAAGGCATGGGGCTGGCATGTCATGGGGCTGGCACGGCATGGAGCTGGCATGGCATGGGGCTGGCACAGCAGATGGCACGGGGCTGGCACGGCATGGCAGGGTGTGGGGCTGACAGAGAACACTACATTCTGGGTTTGGCACAGTCTGCCTGGCTCAGTACAGCCCAGTATGACACAGTCTGGCATGGCACGGCACAGCACGGGGCCTGCACAGCACAAGACAGCCCAGGCCTGGCACCGTCTTTCTGGCTTGACACAGCCCAACACAACAGCTCTGGCACACACAGGATGGCCTGGGGCTGGCACAGTCTGCCTGGCATGGCACAGCCCAGCATGGCATGGCCTGGGGCTGGCACAGCAGGGCGTGGGGTTGCTTGGGAGTTTGGTGTGGTCCAGCCCAGGTCTATCCTGGAGCGTATGGCCTGGGGCAGCGCTACATTCCAGCACAGCTAAGCCTGGCACAGCATGGACCAGCATGGCACAGCTTGGCATGACATAGCACGGCCTGGCCTGGTTCAGCCCGGCCCGGCCCGGCCCAGCCCAGCCCGGCCTAGCCCAGCCCAGCCCAGCCCGGCCCAGTCCGGCCCAGCCCAGCCCAGCCCAGCCCAGCTCAGCTCTGCTGTCTGTTGTGGCACAGCAAAGCCCAGCACGGTCCAGTTTGGCACAGCACAGCTCGGTGTGTACCCCCAGGCCGGGCAGGGCAGGGGGACACACAGGGAGGGCACACGGAGAGTCAGGAGGTGCCGGGGGACCCTCTGTGCCCCCAGCCCGGCCGTGCCCACGCTGTCCCAGCACGGGGACACTCCCGCCACCGCCGCCCTCCGGCCCCGAGCGAGGGCCACACAAGGGGCCGCTTTCTGAGGGAACAAGGGCACTCTGTGCACGGCCCTCGGTGCCACCCGGCTCCACCGTCCCGGGTCACCCGCCCCGTCACACGGCTCTGCTGCCCCGGGGCCACCGCGCTCTCCTGCCTCACTGGCGCTTTGTTCTCGCGGCGCAGGGAGCGATTGGCTCTGGGACAAACACAACCGACCCCCCCTCCCCCCCAAAAAAACCCAGAGAAACCCAACCTTGGAGCAGCCGCTGGAGATTCACCCAGTTACGGACAGAGGACCAGAAACACGCTGTGTGCAAAAAAAAACCCCAAAAACCCAACCGAAAACCCCAAGACTCATCTTTCGCTTACCTTGCGCTTCTCGCCGTGCCGGGACACGTGGCGGGGCCGCCACCGCGGGGCAGAGCCGGCCTCATCCCGGCAGCCGTGCCGGCAAAAAAAGGGGGATATTCTGGTTGCTTTCTCTTTTGGTTTTGGTAAAAGTGGGGCACGCTCTCACATCTGGGGCTCTGCGCTGCCTGGGAACGGCACGTTCTCGGTAGAAGAGGAAACCCCAAGCGCGGGAAGCTGCGCTGAGCACCGGGGCTGTCGCCACGCCCGAGAGGGGCACCCGAGGGGTACCGGGGAATGGGGCAGCCGGGAAGGGCAGCGGAGCCCCGGATCCGGTGTGGGACACCCGGGTGGGCGATGCTGGGGTGGCTGCTGGCGGCGCTGGCGGCGCTGGCGCAGGGCGGTAAGTGCTCCTGCGGTGCTGGGAGATGAGAGATAACTTCAGAAGACTTTCAATGAACGATTTGGGGGCGATAAGACCTGGGGAGCTCCCCGAGAGAGATGGAGATACCCAAAACCACAGGGAGGGAGTAAAGATGGTGAATCCCCGCTGGCAGCGGGCAGGAGTCGGGGCAAATGGCACCGGCCAGCGCCGCATCACCGGGGAGGGGGAACACGGGGGGCTTGGGGTGAGAATCGCTGCTGCAGCTGCTCTGATTCCCCATTTGAACAACTTGGCAAGCGGGCAACAGCCACACCACCGCCCCCTCCATGCACGGGATGGAGTTTGGGATGCAGGAGCCTCCAGCCGCTGCCCTGTCCCGCAGGCACCGTGGCAGCCCACGACATCTCCTGCTGGAAGAAATGCACCAGCAAGCCTTTCCACTGCTCCTGGCCTCCCCTCGGCCCCGCCGGCAACACCTCCTACATCCTGAACTTCTGGTGAGTTGGGCAGCGCGGCGGGGAGGGAGAGCCCATGGGATGTGTCCCGGATCCCTCCCTGTGCCCACTCCCTCCCCAGCTTTGAGAAGAACCGCCAGTGCCGCCGCTATGGGGTGGGCACGGCCACCAACTACAGCCCCCCGCATCGCCAGCTGTACACCCTGGAGAACACCACGGCCTGGGTGGAGGCACGCTGGGGGGAACAGCTCCACAAGACCCCCAACCACATCCTTCACCTCGACAAGGCTGGTGAGTGCCCCGGGGACCAGGCTGGCAGCCAGCACCGGCACTAAAAACTGCCAGACCACCCAAAAGCACCTCATCTTTCCAGTCAAACTGGATCCACCTCCTGATGAGATGCTCTTCTCCAAGACTGGTGGCAAGCTGAGGGTGCAGGTGCCACGGCCACAGTGCCAAGGCCTGGAGCAGCCGGCTCAACACGAGGCTCGCTTCTGGAGGGTGGGAGACAGCAGCTGGACACAGGTAAAAATGCTCTTTGCTGGAGCTGGCAGTGACTGACACGGGTCACCGTGGCAGCCCAGGGAGTGTGGGGGCTCAGTGATGTCAGTGTCCCCCCCAAACCCAGCTGTGTCCCATCTGTTTCACTGCATTATGAGCTCTGCCTCGTCCTCTGGCCATGGGATCCTGCTGCTGCCCCTAACAGGATTCTCTGGGATTACACAGACAAAACCCCAGATTATACTAATGACGACAACAGATCAAATCTGGATGCTTGTCCCCAGTGCAGCTCTCACAGCTGGGGACCCCCCATCCCTCTCAGTTGCTGCCAGGAGGGTCCCAGGATTGAGGGGGCCCCTGGCCACCATGTCCCCTGCACTGTTTGGCCCTCCCAGCCCCTGGGATGTTTGGGGATCGCAGGGCAGCACTGATGTCCCAGTAAAATACTGGTTTTACTGGGTGGGTGTCTCCATGCCCGGCTGTCTCTACAGGTGACATGTGAGACTGTGATGGGGACAGGTGAAAATGACTCAGGTTGGTTTATCCTGCGGGGTTGTTGGGGATGCTCCCCAGCCAGCATCCCATGATGGCCAAAAGCTGGGGACAGGAGAAGCGACCCCCCCCAGCTGACCCTGGCACCCCTCTCTAGTGACCTGTGCCCTGGGGGTCAATGGCACCTTCGTGGTCCAGCTCCGGCACAAGCCTCCCCACTGGAGCAGCTACTGGAGTGACTGGAGCAGCAACATCTCTGTTCCCGAGGGTGAGGAAGAGGAGCCTGGTGAGATCCCAACAGCTCCCAAAAATGTCGACAGCTCAGTCAGGCTTGTTCCTCCTGCAGAAATCCTGAGGAGCCCGGTGCTGAGCCATCAACTGGGCAAACTGGGGAGAGACGGGCAGCGGGTGCTGAGGCTGAGCTGGCAGGTACAGCAGCATCCCTGGGGGCCCTCCTGGGTGTCCCCCACGATTTCATCCCCCAAGTCTCCCCCCTTTTCCTCCCCAGCCAGTCCTCAAGGAGCAAAGGGATGTCACCTACAAGCTGGACGTCCACATGTTGGCGTGTGACTGTGCAGAGTCAGATGAGGAGGACCCTGTGGAGCTGGGCTGGGAGGTGACAGAGCACAACCTCACCCTCTCCGGGGCTGAATACGAAATCCTGTTGACCGCGGTCAATGCCGCGGGGCCGGGGCCGGCGCAGCAGCTCCGTGTGCCCGCAGAGCAGCGAGCAGGTACCCGCCGCTCTGGAAATGCTGAGCTCCCCTGGCAGCCCTCAGGGCTTTATTTTTTCCAGCTACCCCGAATTTCCCCCCGTTTCATCCCAGATCTCAGGTTCAAGGAGATCAGCGTGGCCGGCGGCACCGTGACTGCGCGGTGGGAAGCGCCGGTCCCTGGCGATGCCTTCTGCTTCGAGCAGCAGACGCTGCCGGAGCCTCCGAAACAGGGAGTCTGCTCCCAGCAGGAATTCCCTGCCCACAGCATCCACGTGCAGAGAGGCAAGGGAGCGCCCCAAGCCCCTCGCTGTCCCCACACCCGGGGTCAGAGGGGCTGAGCAGCACCCCCGGTTCGTCCCCAGGAGCTCTGGGAGCGCCGGGCTGTCACCGCCTGGCCGTGCACGGCAGGGACACGGAGCGAGGCTGGGCCACCTTCGCCTTGTGGCACCTCTACTCCAGCAACGGTGGGTGTGCCAGCACGGAGCATCCGCGCCCGATTGCGCTCCAGAAGGGGCGCTCCTGAAATAATCCCCTGGGTTTTCTGCTCGCAGATTCGCTGCTCGTGCCCGTCAACATCAGCGCCGGGGAGGCCGCAGTTGTGCTCCGGTGGAAGCCGTCCCCCCGTGCCGCCTGTCCCGGAGCGCTGGACAAGTACCTCATCTGCCACGAGGCTGAGGGGGACAACGCGAGCTGTGAGTGGGGACCCCTGATCCCCGTGGGGCAGGAGGAGGGTGCGGCCCACCAGACCGCCCCAAGGTCGGTTTTGTTTGCCCAGACAGTGAAGTGGATGCCACGGCATCAAACTACACCCTCCAAAACCTCCAGCCTGGCACAGCCTACAGGGTGGGTGTTTGGGAGGTGACAGAGGACAGCGAGAGGACCTGCAGTGCTTGGTGGCACTTCCAGACCAAGAGGCTGGGTAATGGCTGAGAGCCCCCAGTTCCTATGGGGTGCTCTCTCTCTCTACTGTGTGCTCGCCCTCACCCCAAAACGTCTCCTGTGTCCCTGTTGGGGACAGGAATGCCACCAGCCAGCCATGCCTGTCCCCAGGTCCCCGGGGAGCAGCGTGGAGAAGCAACCTGAATTACCTGGGCATCTCGCTTGGTGTCCCCGCCGCAGCTGCCATCTACCACCTGAGCAAAAAGAGGTGACAGAGCACCCTCGTCCCCAAAGCCGCTCAGGCCACCCCCACTGTCACCCACCCCTCACCAACCACTCCCTCCCCAGGGCTCGCCGCCTCCTCTTCCCACCCCTCCCCAAGCCCGTGGGCACCAAAGCCATCCAGTTCTCGGCAGACGAGATGAGCCAGGTGAGGTTTAAATTGCAGGAGGGGGCATATCCCACAGCCCCAAACGCCCATGCACAGCCCTGGCTCGGGATGTTCCACCCCAAACCCACCCAACCCTTAGGACCAGCCCCGGACAGGCCTCCTGGAGCCCTCGGAAAGGTTCAGCCCAGCCGAGCTGCTGCTGACGGAGCCGAATCCCAGTGAGGAGACGCCTGACACGGACACCCAGACTGCGGTGCCGCTCCCCGAGGTGTCGCAGGCCGGCCCAGCGCTGGAAAAGCCGGCAGCAGCGGTGGCGTCCCCGCAGGGCTGCGGGGAGGAGCTGCCCTTCGCCTACCGCAGGCAGGACACGTTGAGCCCGGGGGGATCTCCACCCTCCGGCAGCAGCACCGGACACCCACCCGGAGAGGAGGAGGAGGAGGAGGAGGAAGAGGAGGGGAGGCAGGGGATGCACCAGCCGCTGATCCCCATTGCCCTGCTCATCTCCGACAAACCCATCATCATCAGGGATGAGGAAGGATGGGATCCCGTGCCGTGACCACCACCGGGCTGGAGCAGCAGGAAGGGCTCGGGGGTGTCCCGTGGAATGCGAGGTGTCTGTGTGGGATGCTGAGTGCCCAGTCCGTGCGTGGCACCGGCACTTTCAGGGGGTTTTCTGGTTTCCAGGACACGGAAGGCGATGCCTCTGGACGCGGCATTGCACCGGGACAGGTTTTGGCCACGCTGTTTCCAGCCTCAACCTTTCACCAGCGATAAAACCCAAGCGAAGGCGGCTGCAGCGTCTGGCCAGGACCGAGGGTATTTCCATGGCTGGATGGGGAGGAGAAGCAGAGCTTCATCCCAGCCAGCTGCCGCCTCTGGAACCAGTATCGTGGTGGGGACTCAAAAAGCCCCAGCACTAAACACCAGATACCTGCAAAAAAATTTTAAAATGTGCAAAAATTAAAGAAAAAAAAAATTAAAAAAAAACCCAAACACAAACATTAAAAAATTTAAACAATTGCACAAAGCAGCAGGGCTGAGATGGTTTTGCCTGGCCTGACCCGAGCAGATTAGAGCAAGGATTTAGAGGCGAGGTTCAATCCACGGCGCTCTGGAGGACACAGCCAGGCAGCCGTGATGGGGGTCCATGGGGGCCTCCCCAGCCCCCTCCAGTGGGGCCACGCCGCCTCCTCGGGCCTTATCTGGGACAGGACTGGAGATGAAAAGCGGTCTGTGGTTTTCTCTGCCTGGCGCGGCGGTGTTTACTTGCTGAGATGGCAAAAAAAAAAAAAAAAAATCTTAAAAAACCAAAAAGCTACGTGGGTTTAGTAACACGGGGAAATGCAGCCGCGGTGTCTCTGCCACTGACGCTCGGTCTCCTCGCTGCTGCTCGTGGTTCCACTCGCGTTTCGCAAAGGATTTCGCTCAGATCGAGCTCGGTGCAACCGCGGCGGTGCCGAGAGGAGACAGAACCGGGGCGGCTCCTTCAGCCAGACCTCGGCCGGGGACGGCTGAGGATGCATTTCTGGCCATTCCCAGCGCTCCAGGGATGAGGCGGCTGCGGTGCTGTCGCTCCCATGGCCGGGGGTCTCATCCGGATGGGCACATGGGGGACCCCCAGCTCCGTGCCAGCAGTGCCACCGCTGTCCGGCACCGCTCGTCCAGCCCGGCTCAGCTGCTGCTGGAACCACGAGGTGGCACCAGCCCCACGTCCCCAAGGCGATTCTAAACTTCTTGGCAGAGCAAATCCATCGGTCCCTCCCCGCGAGTGTCAGGAGTCTGTGTCAGGCCCCTGTGCCCTGCAACTTTGCGCCTGCAGCCCCCCAGATCCCTGGGGATCCGCTGGAGGGGGAAGATCTGGCATCCTGCCGAGCAGAAGCCCAGCGCAGACATCAGATTTAGGGATTTTGTTGGGATCTGGGAGACGCCAGGCTCACTTCAGAGCACTCCAGGCACATGTGGAGGAAGTATCTGGTTACTGGTGAGGAGGCACACTCGGGTTTCAGCCCCAGCCCCTGTTTACAGCCAGGTTTGGGGGCCAGAACGATGAGGGAAAACAGCGAGGGTCACCGAAAGCTCAGCACGGTTGGGTGGCAGCAGTAAACACATGGCCCGGCTCGGGGCCAGCACTGATGCCAGTTAATCATTCCAGCTCTTGGAACGAGTTCACAGCAGGACAGCCAGGCCCTGCTGCTGCATTAAAAACACCCTGGGCAGGGAGGGGACACGAGACCCCCCCTCAGTGCCCCCATGGGGTCACTCCCCAGGGAGACATCTCATCCCTGGTGCTGCTCACAACCCCTCTGATGGCTTCAGGGCTGCCCCTGTCCCCACCAATGGCTCTGTCCCCAGCAGTGGCCCCATGCATTTTCCCCCAGACGTGTCCCAAGCCGGACAGTGCTCTGCCAGGTGCCAATGTGGAGCCATGGATGTGCCCAGGAAAACTAATCAAGCCAGGCTTGCCAATTAACGCTAGAGAGCGGCTCAGGACTCGCTGATTAGTTTAAATTTCACAGGACTGGTTTCCAAATGAGTCCCCAGGTGCCATGCTGAGCTTGGTGACCCAAGGAGAGCTGCCAGGCCAGCTCTTGCAGCCAGGATGTGACCTTGCTGTTCCTCTACCCCAGCACAGCACCCAGACGTGGCACAGGGCACTGGCAAGGCCTGGCAAGAGCCACTGCCACCCACAGCATGAGGACAACTCATTACACCCAGCGGGGCATCCTTCCAGGACAGCTCTGGGATAAGCAGCCAAAACCCATCCCTGCAGGGGAGACAAAGGTCACCCCAGTGCCATTAGGATGCATCAACCCCAAAATCACTCCATGGGGTCCCCTTTTCACACCCAGTGGTGCCAGCACTGCCCCCACACCACCAGTGACAATGTCATTTGCTGGCACGAGTGTGAGGCATCCCTGCCCTAAAGGGAAAACCCTCTGTTGTTCCTATTCTCACAGGGTCCCTGTGCTGTGTTCCCAAAAGCAAATGGCACTGGGGACACGTGCACATGGATTGACCTGGCTCCAGCTGCTCTTGTGGAGTGGAAAATTCAGCACTGCACCCGAAGGCAGCAGGTGGGGCAGCCTGAAGGAGCTGCAGGGAGATGGTGGCAGCCTGGGGATTTGCTCTCAGCTCCCTGATTTTATAGAATCACAGGATCATAAAGGTTGGAAAAGCCCTCTAAGATCATCGAGTCCAGCTACTAATCCAGCACCAGCACTAACCCATGTCCCCAGGTCCCACAGCCACACAGCTTTTAAATCCCCCCAGGCCTGGTGACTCCAGTCAGTGCCAGCGCTTGACAGCCATTTCCATGAAGAAATTTTTCCTAATATCCAACCTAAACCTCCCCTGGTGCAACTTGAAGCCATTTCCTCTTGATTTTGGGGAATGTGATTTCAGAGATAGAACATAAATTAGCCAGAGGGGTTTGCTACAGCCCCATAAACATCAGCTCTTGAGGGGTCTGAGCCCTTGAGGTAGGAGAGGGCCCTGCAGGCCCAGAATGAGATTTTACCACCACATTAAGATGTTTTGCTCCCAGCTTGAGAAGTCTAACCTATTTTCCAGCCTCAGGGAAACAGCCCTGCAGAGCCACACCCTGGCATTAACACGGGCAGAGGAGAAGGTCACAACCCTGCAACCCCCTCACTCATGCATCCATCCCTTTCCCAGCCCCTTCCCTCATCCATACATCCCTCTGCCAGCTGTTTCCCTGCACCCAGCACCATTTCCTGCTCCCTAAACCCCATCCTGGAGAAGAGCTGATGCCAGTGAGGAGTTTGAGCCCAGCCTGACCACCAGCCATGGCCGGGAGCAGGATTATTTGCCGGGCAAAAAGCCATCGCTGCCACCACCTCCACAATGCCACCCGCTGCCAGGCAGATTAAGGTGACTTAATCCCTAAGCAAACAAACTGATCCCTGGGATTTTTATTATTATATTTTAAGCAGAATTCAAGGGCTGCAGGCAGCTCATCTCATCCACCCCCCAAGCACCGCAAAGCCCCCCTGGGCAGGATACCTGACAGTTCCCTGCGGTAGGAAACCTCTGAAGCTGAGGAGCTGAGGCTTTTCCTCCCTAAAAAAAGCTTCTGGGATTCTTCTCCCCACCCCAAAAAAAAAAAAGCCCCGAAGCATTTCTGGTACAGGCATCCCAGCAGGGAAGGGGCTGCAGGGCCCACAGCTGGACAGATGGACACATGTGGACAGAGAGCCACCGGCCGCAGCTGGGTCCAGCTTGTTTTGAAAGTCACGGGTATTTCAGAGCCGGCGTTTTGCAACCATTCGGTGTCACAACAACAACAACAACTCGGTTCTACTTCGCAAACAGGCCCCGGGGCCGCCCCGGTTCTTTTCTGCTCACGTCAGCTGTAACAGCCTCACCCGGGCCACGGCTGTTTCCAAACCCAGCCGTGGAAAACGGCTTGAAGCAGCAGCGAAAGTGAATATTTCATCTTTCCCCACCACCGAGAGGGGCTCGGAGCTGCCCTCCGGGCGGCACTGGATGCTCAGATCACTGAAATCCCCGCTGGGATGCTGCGAGCCCCAGCTCGCCAGCCGGGAGAGGTGGTTGAAAAACCATCTCCTTCCATGGCAGGAGGCATTTTCCTCCCTGCAGTTTGAATATTCTCGGATGGCTGCTCGCAGGGCAGCTCAGCCCCTGGCACGGCCGAAGCTTTCCAGGCTTTGGCAGCTGCAAAGCAATAGCCATTGAATTATGGGTTTGTTTTGTTTTGGGGTTTTTGGGGTTTTTTTTTTTTTGGGTGTTTTTTATTTCAACGGAAACTTTGTAATAATAGTAAAAGAAATCATAATCTCAGGGTGTCGGGAGGCGGGCGGTCGCTCCCCTGGGTATCGGGTGATCCGAAAGGGGAGGACGCTGCGCCCTTATCGCCACACGCGTTCCCTGCCCCCTTGGCAGCGGAGCCGGCCAGAGGTTTTGCAGCATAAACATATTTTGCTCAAGCAGACGGCCAGAGTTGAGCTAAGGACAACTTGATAACCAGAAAGCCCCCAAAAAATCGCCTTTTTACAGCAGCCTCCCCCATCTGTCTCATCCCAGCAAGCTGCCAGCCCAGCTTTGCAGCGATAAACACGGGACCAAGAGCAACCCCCCTTCTCGCAGATCCCCTCCCAGGGTGTTTACCAGCTCTTTGCAGGCAGATTGACTCTTCCTCATTTTTTTCACACGCCAAAACCGCCGGGAAAGCGGAGGGAACCGGCTGGAGCCCCTCCGGGACCGCCCGGCAGCGCCGCAGCCGCCCTCCCCACCGGCACTGCCCGGTCCAACCAGCCGGGACCCCTCGGGCTATCGCTGCCTCCATCGCTGGCCCGGGATGCGGTGGCATTTACACAGCTGCTCAGCAGGAAAATCCCTCTCCCTGCTCCGCATAACCCCTCGCGTTTAAAGATAACCTCCTTCAGGCTTGCTGATGAGGTTGGGAGATGGGGAGGGGGCTCGCTGCAGGCTGCTGTCGATGTGTGGGCATCCCTGCGAGCTGGCTTGGAGCCTTCTCTCCCCAAACCGAGCTTGGTCTGAGGTTTTTTTTGTTGAAATCAGCTCTAATTTGCTGCTTCTTGCAGGGTGATAGGGAAGAAAAAAAGGAGCACAACCCGGTTTCTGAAGACTTTGAGGTTGGGGCGTGGGAGGAGGGATCAGAGCCGTGGGGTTTGACAAGGCTGCCCCATCACCCCTGAGGAGCAGGGAGGTGACAGCCCCGCACTCGTCGCCTCTCAGCTGGGGCCAGCTGTGTCCCCACTGACCCCCAGAGCAGCTCAGCAGTGACTGCGGTGCCCCTCGCTCCTCCCTGGTGCCACAGGAGCCAGGTTTTACCTGCTGGGGTCAGGGCGGGGGGAGTCACCGTGCCACATCCCCCTGGGGCCGCGCACCCACCCGGGGCTGGACGGGAACTTCTCTACGATTTGTGAAGCGGCTCCTGGGTCTGACAGCGAAGCCAGCCGGGGTGGGGAGCAAAAT